ATGAGAACATATGGACACAGGGAGGGGAACATCACATACTGGGACCTGTTAGGGGAGGGGAGAAAAGTAAGGGACAGCATTAGAACAAATACCTAGTGCATCTGGGGCTTAAAACCTAGATGATGGGTTGACAGGTGCAGCAAACCACCATGGCACAGGTATACCTATATAAACCTGCATGTTCAGCATATGTATCCCAGAACTTAAAGTTAAAAAAATCATAATAATAAGCAGGGTAATGCAATGAACAACTTTATGCTTATCAACTTGACAGATGATTACAAAAAAATGGACCAAAACCTCAGAAAACACAAACTACCAAAATTCACCAACAACAAAAATAATAACCTAAATAGTCCTGTAACTATTAAAGAATTAATTTTGTTACTTAAAACTTCATGGAAAAAAACAATCTCCTGAACCAGATGATTTCATTGGAGAATGTTAAACAAAGAATTAACACCATTTTAAAAGAGTCCCTTTCAAAAATTAGAAAAGGGAATAATTTCCAACTCATTTAATAAGGCAAATATTACCTTGATACCAAAACCATACAAACACAGAATTTAAAAAAAAAAAAAAAGTATAAACCAATCTCTCCTTAAATACAAAAATCCTAAACAAAATTTTAAAAAATCACATCTAACAATGTAGAAAAAGTACCAATAATGAAGAATAACTGACATTTTTAGATAACTATATTCAACAACAGAATACATTTTTTTTCAGGTACCCATGAATCATTCATAAAGACAGGCAATATCTTGGGTCATAAAACAAATCTTCATAAACATAAAAAAACTAAAATTACACCATGTATACTGTGTCATAAAGGAATCAAAATCAGAAATTAAGGAAAAAAATAATATGAAAGTAGCAAACATTAGAAAATTAACACACTTAAAAAAAACCAAATAGGTTAAAGTCTGAAAGCATATTTAAAAATACATCAAAATAAGTGAAATTAACAGAAAACACAACACATCAAAACCTGTAAAATGCAGCTACAACAGTGCTAAGGGGGAAATTTGTGCCAAATGAATACATTTGAAAAGGAGACAGACCTAAAATCACCATGACCACATGGGAACTTTATGCAAGGCTGGTTAAATATTCAAAAATCAATCTGTATAAGCCACCATATCAATAGATTAAAGAAGAAAAATCATATGGATTTATGAAAAAAAATACATCTGACAAAATTCATATTACTCATGATTTAAAAAAATCTCAGCATACTGGCAAACAGAAAATCTCCAAACCCTAAAAAACACCTATTAAAAACTTACAGCTTACAGCTAACATCACATACTTAATGTGAAAGACTGAATGCTTTCTAAGAGCAGGAACAAGGCTAGAATTTTCATCCCATCTTTTTTTTTTTTTTTTTTTTGAGATAGGGTCTGACTCTGTACCCAGGCTGGAGTGCAGTGGCACTAGCACAGCTCACTGCATCTTCAACCTTTTGGGCTCCAGTGATTCTCCAACCTCAGCCTCCCAAGAACGCAGGACTATAGGCATGTGCCACTGCACAGGCTAAATTTTTGTGGGTTTTTTGTTGTTGTTGTTGTTTTGGGGTTTTTTTTTTTGTAGAGACAGGTTCTCACTACGTTGCCCAGGCTGATCTCAAACATCTGACCTCAAGTGATCCTCCTACCTCAGATTCCCAAAGTCCTGGAACTATAGGTCTAAGCTATGGTGCTTGGACCCATCACTGTTATTTAACACAATACTCAAGTGCTAGATAATGATAGCAAGGAAAAGAAATAAAAGACATAAACTAAATTTACCCCAAACTACCCACAATTGTTAAGTGGCACAGTACTAATATAATTTCATTTAAAATCATAGAACAGACATGGATACCTACTATTATCATTATTAGACAACACTGACTCATATTCTATCGAAGGCAAGCAGACTGAAATAATCAGATTAAACATAACAGATGAAACCTCTCTTTAGCTGATGACATGATTATATGGCTTAAAGAAAACCGAAATATTTGAATTTTTAAAGGTCAAGAATTTTTTTAAAAAACCTCGGTGTTGGGATAAAATTTTCTTGATACAAAAATTATCCTCATAATTTAAAAAAATGTTATTCAGAACAGTACAAAAATTATAGTATAGTTAGGGTTAATCTTGGTAAGAAAGTTAAAGACCCAATACTATGAGGGAGGACAGAATGGGAAGCCAGGAGACGAATTTTACTAAAAGATTTTTTAATGGCAAAACAAAGTTCAACATACCAACAGTTTTTGAGTGTACAATTTAGTGGAATTAAGTACATTCACAACAATGTGCAACCATCACTGTTTCCAGAACTTTATCATCTCAAATTCTGTAGACATCAAACATTAACTCACCAATTACCCCCTACTGAAATCCCCTGCCACCTCTATTCTATTTCCTATCTCTAAATTTATCTATTTTAAATTTTTAAATTTAAATATTTTTAAATTTATCTATATAAAATTTTTTTTTGTCTGGTTTATTTCAGTTAGCAAGTTTTAATGTGTTCAAGATTCTTCTATGCTATGGTATATAGCAGAACTTTGCTTCTCATGACTAATACTCTATTCTACATATGTACCACACGCTGTTTACCCATTCATCTGTTGACAGACACTTGGGTTGTCTATACCTTTTGGGTACTGTGAATAATACTGCTATGAATATTAGTATACAAATGTCTGCTTCTGTCCTGGCTTTCAATTCTTTTAGGTATTCTTCTAGGAGGTAAGTGCTGGGTCATATGGTAATTCTGTTTAACTTTCTGAGAAACTGTCAAATTGTTTTCCACAGTGGCTGCACCATTTTACATTCCCACCAGTGATGCACGATGGTTTTAATTTATCCACATCTTCAACAACCCTTATTTTCCTTTTTTTGTTTTATATAATAGCTGACCTAGTGAGCATAAAGTGGTATCTCCCTAGGGTCTTAACTTGCACTTCTCTAACGACTAAAGATTTCAAGCATCGTTTCATATATTCATTGGCCAACTGTATACCTTCTTTGGAGAAATACCTATTGAAGTCCTTTGTTCATCTTTTATTTGAGTATTTGGGTTGTCTGGTTCTTCTGTGGTTGAGCTGTAGAAGTTCTTTGTATATTCTAGATATAAATCTCTATTATTCTTATCAGGTAAATTATTTGCAAATACTTTCTCCTGGTCTGGTTCCCCTTCCACACTCTTGATAGTATCCTTCAGGTTACTTTTTTTTTTTTTTTTTTTTTTTTTTTCCTGAGACACAGTCTTAATTCTGTCACCCAGGCTGGAGTGCAGTGGTGCAATCTTCAACTCACTGCAACCTCCATCTCCTGGGTTCAAGCAATACTCCTGACTCAGCCACTTGAGTAGCTGGGATAACAGGCACTTGCCACCGCATCCAGCAAATTTTTGTATTTTTAGTAGAGACGGAGTTTTACCATGTTGGCCAGGCAGGTCTCAAACTCCTAACCTCAAGTGATCCACCCACGTCAACCTCCCAAAGTGTTGGGATTACCGGCATGAGCAAACATGCCCAGCCCCAGATTAATATTTTTCTAAGAAACATAAACACAAATTATTTTGTAAAAAATCTAAATAACATAAAAATGTGAATTCTCACAAAACTATAAATTAAATGCAATTGCAGTTAGAATTGTAAAATTTTATTAGGAATTGGATAAAACTAAAAGCTTATAGAAAGAAAAAAGGCTGGCGAACAGCAGTGGAATAGTAAAGGTATTTATCTCCGTATCAGCACATACTATAAAGCTACTATAAGTAACAAGAGTATTGTGTTGACAGAGGAAAAAACATTCAAAAGTATGTTGAATGTGTTGGGAGGCCAAGGTGGGCAGATCACCTGAGGTCAAGAGTTTAAGACCAGATGGCCAACATGGTGAAACCCCACCTCTACTAAAAATACAGAAAATTAGCCAGGTGAGGTGGCATGTGCCTGTAATTCCAGCTACTCAGGAGACTGGGGCAGGAGAATTGCTTGAATCTGGGATGCAGAGGTTGTAGTGAGCCAAGATCAGGCGACTGCACTGCAGCTTGGACAACAAGAGCAAAACTCCGTGTCAAAAAAAAAAAATAATGTATGTTGAATGTTATGTAAGACTTAATATATGATATAAGTGGTACATTCAGAAGCAAACAGATTTTTTTAAATTAATAAACAGATCTGACACAACTGACCACCTGGAAGAAAATAAACTTAGAAGATTATGTCACATTATATACCAAAACACATTCCGAATCGTTAAAGATTTAGATTTTTTTTTTTTTAAAAAGGTATTCAGATGAAAACTCTAAGTTATTACAGATACCATTGGGATAAGAAACTTTGAACTAAAACAGGAAACTTAAAGCTATAAAACAAAAGTTACACCATTTAACAATTAAAAATCCAACAGTCAATAAACATATGGTGCTCAAACTCCGGCAATCACGGAAATGGACTCTAAAGTAAAAACGAGATTGTTCATTATCAATGAACTGGCAAAAAACGTAGACTAGTTAAATAGTCTATCAGGTAAAAGATAGTCATACGTTATTGGTGTGAAAGGAAATTGTAATAGCCTTTTCTGAAAGCACAGGCACAGACACATACAAACACATATGCTTTTTTTTTCACTTATGAGCACCAATTAAGTTATAGAATGATTCAAAGGCTACTTCAGCAGAATGATAGAAGTAATGACTAAATTATTCTTTTAAACCTTTATTAACTCAATGGAGCAACCCTCTTTTAATCCAAAAAATGAAAATAAAGAAAACTTTAAAAAGTAATAGCACGTATCACAGACTAAAGGAAATGGAGAAGACAGAAAAAGGGCACTGACTATGGAGTTGTAAGGAAATCAAAAAATATTCATCCATTTCACAATTCACAATTCTGTCTAACCTGAACCTGACCTTCACACTCAAAACAACACATGCAGCATTAGCATTTCTCACTTTTTAAATATATCCAAGCAAATAATGCCCATGGAGATGCCACCAACCTGATCTGTTGGTGACTTCACTTGGTTCTACAATAAACTGCAGAGAGGCTTCTTTCTTCCTTGAAGAAATTGGAACTGACTTTGGATGTGATTTCTGGCACAGAGCACAGAAGAAATACAACATTAGAACTATTTTATTAACTTACCATTTCTGATGAAATATATTTGTTTTAAAATGGGAGGAAAACCAACATTCTAAAACAACAAACCAGCTGTTAAGAGTTTTATACTACTTTTTATTTTATTTCTAAAGCAATAGTTACTTTACAAAACAATTTGGCATTATTCAGTAAGGCTGAAATTTCATACAACCTATCACAGAAACAATATTGCTCTCAACAGCCAAAAACTATGTGGACAGAAGACTGAATAAACTTACTGAATAAATAAGTTGTGGTAAAGATATATCATATTACATACATAATAGTGAAACAAACTACAATAATATATACAATTATTTTAACCAGAAAAAAAAGCTGCAGAAGTACATAACAATCCTATTTATGCAAAGTTCAAAATAGACATGTAAAACTCTATAGTATTTACAGATTCACTCTTTGCAGGAAAGAGTTAACATATTAGGCCTGATCATTTAAAAGGCCAGCTTACAGGGTAATCCCTTGGTAGGCATTCAGAGATTTGACTTTTAGAATATTCCCTCCATTCCCAACAGACAAGGTTGCACCTGCTGTAACATCCTGCCTACACTACTTGTATAAACACCCTGCCTACACTGCTTGTATAAACAATGTGATTTATAGTTAGCATCTGCTTTCTCTCCTTCTGGGAGTGTGTAAAATTTTGGTAGGCAGAGAGTGTATATGGGACCAACCCCCAGTGAAAACAACCTGAGTTTTAAAAAAGCTTCTCTGAGGAGAAAGTGTTTATACATGTTACTGCATTTAACTGCTGGAGGAAATGAGTACACTCTATATGGCCCCTTGGGGAGCACAGGAAGCCTATACATGGATTCCTCCAGACTCTACCTAATGTAAATTTTTCCCTTACTGACCTAGCTGTGTATTTTGACTGAATGACTATAATAAGTATCAGTCATGAGTTCAACTGTAAGCCAAGTCTCTTGAGTCCTTTTAGTGAAGCACCAAATGTGGATGGTAGTGGGACCTGTCACAGAGGTCTCCTTCTGCTCTCTGTAGCAACAGAAATGTGGACATGGTATCAGCACAGATCTACCAGTAGAAAAATAAATAAAAAACAGACTGATATGGTATGGCAGTGTTCCCACCCAAATCTCAACTTGAACTGTATCTCCCAGAATTCCCTTGTGTTGTGGGTGGGGCCCAGGGGGTGATAACTGAATCATGGAGAAACTTATAAGGATTAGTGGAAGTGTAAGACACCTCTAAAAAAAGGTGCAAGCCAGATGCAGTGGCTCACATATGTAATCCCAGCACTTTTGGAGGCCAGGGCAAAAGGATCACTTGAGGTCAAGAATTCAAGACCAGGCTGGGAAACTTAGCAAGACCACATCTCTATGAAAAACAAAAAATTAGGCAAGAGTGGTGGTGCATGCTTGTGGTCCTACCTACTCAGGAGGCTGAGGTAGAAGGATCACTTGAGCCCAGACATTTGAGGTTGCAGTGGGCTATGAGCACGCCACTGCACTCCAGCAATAGAGCAAGACCTTGTCTCAAAAAAAAAGAAGGGGCATGCAAACAGAGGGTGTTAAAAGTGTGTATAGCCGAATGTGTCTTTTGTCACAGAAAAGAAAAAAGTGTATATAGAGGTAGGAAAACTGGGTGGGTGCAGTGGCTCACGTCTGTAATCCCAGCACTTTGGGATGCTGAGGGGAGGCAGATCACCTGAGGTAAGGAGTTCGAGACCAGCCTGACTAATACAGTGAAGCTCCGCCTGTACTAAAAAAACAAAAGTTAGCCAGGAGTGGTGGCAGGTACCTGTAGTCCCAGGTACTCAGGAGGCTGAGACAGGAGAATTGCTTGAAACTGGGAGGTGGAGGTTGCAGTGAGCCAAGATTGTGCCACTGCACTCCAGCCTGGTCAGCAGAGCGAGACTCCATCTCAAAAAAAAAAATAAATAAAAATAAAAAAATAAAAAAAGAAGGTAGTAAAACCAAAGAGCCTCTCCCAAACCCATCAGAAGATTAGATGTTTACTCTCTTGAGTTTCTAAAACATAAAGACTGTGAAATTAGTGGTGGAAGACACAGGTGAAGTTAAGGGCAATACATGAAAACCAGAGATATTAAATAGGAGCATTCAAACTGCACTTTCCCCTTTGCCACATCTGACTAAAATTCAAAACAATCTCTGTTAGAATTGAATCGCCAAGCGAGAGAGGTATCTTACCAGGCTGAGGGAAAAGAAATCTACAGATGTTAACACCTGGGTATCAACAATTAAATGGAGTAAGCTACACCAGTGAAATCCACCAGTCTACAAATTTTACTAGGCATATGGAGCTCCCCATGTGTTTTAGTTTCCCACTTTCAAAGGAGAGGAGACAGCTAAGGATCATTAGACATAAGAAAAAAAGCCAGGTAATGAGCAAAGTAAGTAAAAAAGGTACTTGTAGAAAACGGAAGTTGTAAGAAGAAATATTTATGAAAAGGGTTAGATGAACCTAACATCAAAAAAAATAATAAAAATTTAGATCACTAAAGACAGATGACAATATCCTAAAAGCCTGCAAAGAGGAAAAAACAGTAACAAAGGATCAAGGACTCAAAACAGTATTCTCAAGAGGAGGAGCTAAAATAAGAGAAAGCAACATTTTTAAAAGTCTAAGGGAAAATATACCTGACTAAAACAGAGGCTTCATATGAAAAAATATGTTACTTTAACTAAAGGAAAATAATTTCTAATACAACTCTGTACTCACCCAAATTACTTATCATGAGAGTAAAACCATGATATTTTTAAACATTTAAGGTCTTAAATTCTCAGAAAGCTATTAAAGGATGAGTTCCAAAAAAGGAGAGGCCAAGAAAAAAGGAAGACTTAAGATCCAAGAAATATGAGATGCAATTCAGGAGAAAAGCAAAGGGACTCCCTCTGATATAGGAAGAGTACATGACAAAATCTATTTGATAGCTCTAAGGATAGACAGAAGGGAAAAAAAAGAGCAGAGATAGTTTCAAAAAAAGCTGAAAATGATAAATTACTTAAAGGGTCTACATATACTAAGACATTTATACTTAAACTTTTGTCACAGAAAACTGGTGACGAATTAGTCATAGGTGCACAGAAAGTCAAAACTGGAAAAACCAAGATTAAATCAGGAGAAAACTAAGAGCTGTACATAAAGAAAAATTAACCATTAGTACTTTACATAGCTGTGACTACTGAAACAGTTGTAAAAATATTGTGAACCCTAAATACTAATCCTACTGAAAATATGATGTACTAAAAAATGGAAGTTTATGTGTTGTGGTACAAAGTAGAAACTATATGACAAATAGTCTAAACTTCCATAGTAGAAAATCAGTAAGTAATAGCAAAGACTGAAAAAAAATCAAGAAACTGTCATATAAACATTATTTTGAAATACGGAGTCAAAATATCCAGAAGAATAACTAAGACTAAGAAGTTGGACTTAGAGGAGGAAGAGTGGGCTCTACTTTTTTTTTTTTGTGGAAGTTATGGAATTATTTTAACTTATATGTATATAATGCCTTTGAGCTTAAAAATAATTCTTCCAAAACATTAAGAAGAAAATTATTTTAAAAGATAGGGAAGAGGGCTGGGCACAGTGGTTCACGCCTGTAATCTTGGCACTTTAGGAGGTGGAGGCAGGCAGATCACAAGGTCAGAAGATCGAGACCATCCTGTTTAACATGGTTAAACCCCGTCTCTCCTAAAAATACAAAAATCATCCAGGCATGGTGGCACGCACTTGTAGTCTCAGCTTCTTGGGAGGGTGGGGCAGGAGAATCGCTTGAACCTAAAAGGCAGTGGCTGCAGTGAGTTGAGACTGAGCCACTGCACTCTGGCCTGGGAGACAGAGGAAGACTCCATCTCAAAAAAAAAAAATAAAATAAATAAATAAATAATAAAATTTAAAAAAAAAAATATATATATATATATATATATGGATATATATGGAAAAGAAAACAGTGAACCAGCATAGACAGCTGGTTCTTTGAAAATGCTAATGACAGAAAAATACCTCTAACAACACAGATAATTTAAAAAGGTGAAAATGAGCAATAAAAAAAGAGTAACAACGATGAGAAAGATCATAAAGTTAACTATACACAAATTAAGAAGGAAATAGATGTTTCAAGGAAATTATAAAATATCAAAACTGGCAAAAGAAATACAAAAAATGTAACATCATCATTAAATAAAGTGGTAATCACAAACATCCCCAACAAAGCAGCCTCAACCGTATGTTTTACAAATGATCTAAATTTGAAGAAACAGATCATTTTTGCTTAATCAAGTTATCCCAGAAAACAGAAGAGAAAAACTAATTTCTTTCATGAAGCTTGGTTGTGTTGCAGTTAAAACCTAAGGACTCATATCTTATTTTACTTAAAGACATACAAATATGAAATAGTAACTAGACCTCAAAATCTCAAGTTCTCAAACAGAAAACCCAGTAAGACAGGTAAGTTTTAAGTCTGATTAACTCACTTTATTTTCAAATCAAGTAAACAAATTCCACTTCTTATGTGGAAGGCCTGGGCCAAGTTTGTTGCATGGAAAGGCCCTACCTGAAAAAAACCCTAACAACTACCTGTTGTTTGGAAGCATCCATCTCAAGGATTCGAATAAAAAGAATAATATAAAAATAAAGAATATATGAAAAATAAAATTAAGAAAAAAAAATGAAACTAAAAACAAGCAAATGAGAGGACCAACAAAGCCAAACTTGTTTTCTGAAAGACCAAAACTGATAAACCCTGACAAAATGAATCAATGAAAAAGACAAGGCATAGCAGGCACAGTGACATGTGCCTCATGAGCAGTAAGTAGTCCCAGCTACTACTTAGCTTCGGGAGGATGACTTAAGCCCAAGAGTTCTAGTCCATCTTGGGCAACATAGCAAGATCCCTAGCTCTAATTTAAAAAAAAAAAAAAAAAAAAAAAGATAAGGCATAAATAACCAATGTCAGGAATGAAAAAGAGTATGTAACTATAGGTCCCACAAACATTATAATACTGTAAAAAGACATTACAAAACAACATTATCATTATCCAAATAAACTGGAAATTTCAAATAAAATGAACAAATCCCTAAAAAGAGAAAATTAGGCAAAACTTTCCAAAAAAAAGGAAAATAAAAAATCAAAATTGTCTACTGAAACTATTAAGAAAAATCTAAATCTTTCATATTCTATATCGTCGTCTAGGTAGCAGCTGTAAAATTTCAATGCAATACACATGCAATTTGTGAATTTTAACATATTATGTTTCATAAGAAAACAAAAGTGAGGCCAGGCCCAGTGCTCATGCCTGTAATCCCAATGCTTTGGGAGGCTGAGGCAGGAGGACTGATTGAGCCCAGAAGTTTGAAACAAGCCTAGGGAACATACTGAAACCCTGCCTCTGTAAAGAAAAATTTTAAATGGCCAGATGCAGTGGCTCACACCTGTAAACCCAGCACTTTGGGAGGTCAAGTTCGGCAGAACACTGGAGGTCAGGAGTTCAAGACCAGCCTGGCCAACATGGTGAAAATCCGCCTCTACTAAAACTACAAATATTAGCCTGGTGTGGAGGTGGGTGCCTACAACCTCAGGTACTCAGGAGGCTGAGGCAGGAGAATCGTTTGAACCTGGGAGGTGGAGGTTGCAGTGAGCTGAGATAGCACCACTGCACTCCAGCCTGGGTGACAGAGCAAGACTGTGAAAAGTAAATAAACAGTTCAGCATGGTGACATGCATCCATAGTTCTAGCTATTCCGTAGGCTGAGAGGGAAGGGTTGTTCAAGCTCAGGAAAAGTTCAAGGCTGCAGAGAGCTATGATCATATCATGGCACTCCATCCTGAGCTAAAGAGTGAAATCCTGTCTCAGAAAAGGAAAAGTAAATAAATTCATATTTTAAAACTTTCACAAAGATAAAACTATGAATAACATCAAATATTTAAGAAACAATACTGACTCATAAACAATTCAGGAGAAAAGAGAAAGATAAAATACTGAACAACTCATTTTACAAAGCAATATAAACATAGAGGAGAGCCCCTTCTTTTGAACATTTATTTCTTATTATTCATTTAAAGTTATGAATTCCCTTTAACACTATTTTAGCTAAATCTCACAAGTTCTGATAATTCATATTATTGTTTTTATTCAGTTCAGAATATTTTGCAGTCCCAACATGCTTTCTTCTTTGGCCCAAAGTAATTTAGAGTCATTGCAGTGGACCTTGACTTTAGAGCACAATGTCTCAAAAGGGACCATATTTACCCTCCTTTAAATTTTAAAAAGAGAAAAAACATACAAGATTCTCAAGAAATATGAAATTGAAAAACAAAGAAAATGATTCTTGAGATGGGAAACAAATGAAGTGAACCCTCTGATCCACCCATTTCCAGGATGTGACACACAGGGGAAATCTTCAGTTGAGGAGCCAAAGCTGAGGATTCAGGAAGACCAAGGTGGTTAGAATTTACAAGGTAAAATACTGGACACGAGTTACACAGAGAAAACTTTGGAATGTACAGATCTCTCTTGAGCATTCAATCAAATATTTGAACAGAGAATGTGTTGTGAGAAAACCAGAGAAAGAACCACCCGAAGCCTTGAGGGGGAATATCCTCCCAGTCACACAGGACCTAAAATAATGCCTGTACTTACCAGCCAGAGTGGAAAACCTCCATAAGTAACAGAACACAGTAGAGTAAAGAAGAATTTTGCCTCAGAAGGGAAGAAAATTAGCTACAGGCTATATTTTGCTAGTCTTTATTGTTTCCACAGCTCCTCAGATCTCTAAAAATAAAATTAGTTTCCATTTTTTAAAATAGTTACTTTAGCAGGAGTGTTAGCCTTCTGTGACTTATTGCATCCTATCTAGAAGAACCTCTAGCATAACCTTGATACCAAAGCCCTGTAAGAACATTTTAAGAAAAAAAGACAGTATTGTTCACAAACATAGAAGCAAACATCTTCAATATTAGGCAAACCTAATCAAAAAAGTTAATACTTTATGAGCAAGTTAAGTTTATCCCAGAAAACGTAAAGTTGCTTTAACTTTCAAAAACCATTGTAATTTATCATGTTTCAGAAGTCTTCTCAATTCTGAAAGAAATGGTTTTGTCTTCATTCCTTGGAGCTAAAAGGCTACAATATGTTTAATATGTTGACAGCCTTTTATAGTTTTCTAGTAAATGTTATTTCTAGCACTATATGATTTTTCTAATTAGTACATAAATAAATACTTTATTTATGATCAAACAAACAGCAAACAATTAAAATATATAATCAACAAAAGACCGATTTCCCTTTAGAGCAAGGTAGTACCTTCATTTTTAAGAATATAACCAAACCTGTCAACCTGAACAGCAACTTCAATCCCTGCCCATTTTCCTAAAAACCTAATTTGAGTATTATTTTAGAAGTGAGAAATGTTTGTTATAATTTGACAACGCTAATTCCCATAACCCCAATTCTAACACAGAAAATATCAAATAAAACTTTTCACAAAATATCTCCAAATTCTAAAGAAAGTCAATGGGAATACAGAATTCCCTTTCAAGAATAAGACTTGCAAACAACTAAAATATACGTAAGTATATTGTGCATACCTTCATTCATTAAAATATTAAACCTATACCAGCTCTCCTTTATCACTTACCTCTTTGCTTGGTGACTGAATACAAGTGTCTTTTATTTTGGGTGTTGAATAAAGCACTGATTTTATAGAATTTGTACTAAAATCATTGGCAAGACCTAAAACAAAAGTATAAAATTTTCAAAAACAAGATATAACGTAATATCTATTAGTTACAATTAAAAGTAGCTGTATATAGCATGTGAAGAACCATCTGTTGACTCACTGACCACAATTAGCTTAAGTCAAGTAGAGACATTAATTCAATACTCAAATGTTCCTGGGAAGCATCAAGAATAAAGAAAAAAAAAAAAAAACACCTGAAGTATCAATATATGCCAGCTCTTCTTTCAGAGCTTGTATAGAAAACATTTTTTTCTATCATCTGCCCCTATTTCTTTGGCCGGTTTACTCTTATTCTAATACCTGCTGATGCTAATCACTACTTGGAAAAGTATTTGCTATAATTCATGACTTTCTTAAACAGGCATATATATCACCAAAGATTATACCAAATTCTCTAACGATCTCAAGAATTCTACACATCTATTTTCATTACATTAAGTATTTTTTCTGGCTGGGTGCAATGGCTTACACCTATAATCCCAACACTTTGGAAGGCTGAAGTGGGCAGGTCACTTGAGGCTAGGAGTTTGATACCAGCCTGGCCAACATGGTGAAACCTGGACTCTACTAAAATAAAAATAAAAATAAGCCAGGCGTGGCGGCACACACCTATAATCCCAGCTACTTGGAAGCCTGAGGCAATAGAATCTGCTTGAACCTGGTAGGTAGAGGCTTCAGGGAGTTGAGATAGTACCATCGCATACCAGCCTGGGCAACAGAACAAGACTATGTCTCAAAAACATAAATAAATATTTTTTTCTTGTGTATGTTAATTATGTATGGACTTCTAGATTACAGTAATCTAATGTGAACTAAAGGGGATGACAAATTATTGTCAAATTATTGTTATTTTTGTCAGTATTATCCTAAGTATGCCAGAAGGTACACAAAGCATTGCACATGAACTCAAAATTCTAGGGAAAATACTTTAAGTATATTTAAACCCTAGAACATATTTGCTGCATTTGATATTAATTACCATGACAAACTCATATTTTCATCCACCTAACCCTCAAATTCCATCTTGAAATGAAGCCTTACTTTTTTCTTCAAAACAGTCTTGTAAGATTTCCAGAACATTCTGGCCTTGCTCTGTGTTAATGTTCCGTGCCCTAATAAAGAAAGAGAAAATATAACCAATCATTTTCAGAAGATATTTGTTTATATTACCATCTATTTGAAAATTCCAGATCTCATTATAAAATATTAATTAACTTAATATGTAAAATATCTTTACCATTCGAAGATAATACAAGTATTTGAGGGTCTATGAGTTCCCTCTAATGAACTCCTTCTTTCCTAATAAGAATTAGTATATAATAATCTACATTAACAATTACATTTCTTAGTTGAACAGCCATCGCTAAAGCCATGTCTAAAGCTGTTTTAGATTACTGCTGTATCTCAACACAAATTTTTTTGAATGAATCCAATCGGTCCTGAAATGCTTTTTTAAAAGACTTTACAGTTACATCTCCAAGTAACATATTCCTCCCTATAAGTTCTCAAATGCATTTTTGATTCAGTATCGTTAATATTAACAATTTATGAATCAATATAAATTTTAATTAAAAATTACGTTGAGCGTATAGATTCACATGCAGCTATAAAAAATAATAGAAATTCTTTGTTCACTTTACCCAGTGCTCCTCAGTGCTGAGTTTACAAAACTATAGCATATTATCATAACCAGGATGCTAATATTGATACAATCTACCAATGCTATTTCAATTTCTCCAGTTCTACATGTACTCATTTCTGAATATGTTCGTGTTTATGTGTATTTATTTCGACACAACGTATCACATCTGCATGTTCATATAAAACAACCAGAGTCAAGATACTGAATAGTTCCATCATCACAAAGATCCTCTATTGTCCTTTTATAACCATAACCACTTTTCTCTCTCCTCCTTCCTGCCTCCTCTCATTCCTAACCTCTGGCAACCGCTAATATGTCCTCTATTTCTAAAATTCTGTCATTTGGAAAAAAATTAAAAGTAACTAGAATCATACAGTATGTATCCTTTGCCCTGGCTTTTTTCACTCAACACAATTCTATGGAGATCAATCGCAGTTGAATGTATCAATATTTCTTTGCTATTTAGAGAAAAGTAGCATTCCACGCTATGTGTATACCACAAAGTTCAACCATTTACCTGTTGAAGGACGTCTGGATTTCAATCAGTATAAAATTTTGACATGCATGTCTAACAGGGTTGTCAAATTTTGCTTAAAAGGCCAGACAGTAAATATTTCAGACTTGTAAACTATACGGTCTCTGCCACAACCAGTCGATTCTCCCATTCTAACCCAAAAGCAACCACAGACAGTATGTAAATAAAGAAGCATGCCTGTATTCCAATAAAACTGAAACAAAACCTGTGACAAAACATTTGGCTGGCCTATCAGCCAAAGTTAACTGATCCCTCATCTACAAAATTTCTATTATTCTTGAAAAGTACTATATATGAAGTAATTAAAGATTGTGAGCCACAATGCATTATCAGGTCATCCATCATAAACTTTTATAACTGAAACATCTCAGAAATCATCCAGTCTAATAATTATCACCCAAACAGATGCATAAAATTACTTTTGTAGCTTTGCAGAAATACATATTGGGTCACATCCCACAAACCAATTTAATCAGATTTTCTAGGGTGATTGAGATAATTCTGATGTGTGAATCTAGTTAAAAAACACTAGCTGAATCCTGTGCCCTCATTTTGTAGATAGGCAAACTGAAATCCAAATTGGTCAAATGGCCTGCCTCAGTTTGCAAACTTAATTAGTATTAGTGGCTGGCCTTCTACCAAAATATAGGTCACTATTATAAATTCTGCCCTTGACACCAGCCCAGAATACCACCTACAGGTGCATATATTTCCAACTATAAACACACTCCTGCTATTACCTATTTCATGGATGAAATCCAAAAAGATAGATTTGTCAAAGGTGATAATGCAGACAGTCACTACTAAAACACAAGTGACATTAGTCTAGACAACAGCTTTTTCAAAATTTATCAAATTAATCTTTTCTCCCCCCTTGTCATTATTATTACCTTAGCATAAAAGCACCTCCATCATGTCTAGACTACTACGACCCCTTTCTTAAGCTACCTTGTAAACATTAAACCCCTTTGCTTTTTTAAATGTGTGTGTTTTTACATCAGACAGCCCTTATTCCACAGAAGATTTAGGACAGCTTATTCAAGCCTATAATAAATGCCTAAAGTCTAACATATCTATTTTCTGCCCAATCCAACTCATATGGTCATTTTCCACTAATACCCAACATATTCACCTTCTTAAATCAGGTCTCTCTGCTACTGACAAATAAATGTATTCCTACTTTGGTTCCTTTTTTAAGTTACTTTCTATGTCTGCAATGTACTTTATCTTAGTCTTTAAATCCCTATTCAAGATCCACCTAAGTTACACTACAACTTTAAAGCTTTCCTTAATACCAACAACACACAAATCCCTTATTTCTTACATGGCTGTCTATACTGCAAGTTAATGCTTAATTATATATAGGCCTACTCTCTATAATATACAAGTCATTACTTCAGTATTAAAAGTGGAAATTTTTGTCCGTTAAATTATTTCACAAATGTACATTTTCCCAATTGAAATGAAAGCTTCTTGTAAGGAAAAGAAAGTATTTCTGTGCCCCATTGGACGTACTAAAATCACAGCTCAATAAACAAGACGTTATTCACAATAGCATCTTCACTTTTAAAAACATGCTTTTCATCCTATTACTATTAAATATTTAACCAGAAAATTTACTTTTAACAGGTTTTATAATTAAAAGGACCAAAACAACCCAAATTAGCACCCAACAAATAAATGCATGACGGCATGTAGTATTTTTCTTTTTGCCTCACTGAATAATTTTCTAATTTTACCATTTGATTCATGCTACAAAATCCTTTTCCCATGGCAGTCACGTAGTCAGAATTGAGACTGTCTCTTCCTGGTTCCACTATTGTATCAGGTGGATTTCTTTTTTCACTGCCACAAAGTCACTGCACTGCTTGCATTAACATTCCTCTGTTAACATAAAATAACTAAGATGACTAGTCTTAAGTGGGCAAAGAAATCATTATTTTAGTCAGAGGTGACACTTTCTCCTTTCTTCATTTAAAAATCTACATAAAGATGGTAATAAAACTAATCTTAAAAGTTTAAGTATATAAATCACCTGGAAGGTCGACAAAATCTTCTTCTGTAGTCATTTTTGAGGTGATCCTGAAAGAGAAGTAAATCACCAACACAAAATATGAGTTGCTGCTTCCATCAGTCATTCACAGCTTGCACCTTTTAACTAACAGGTGTCTTTCAGAAGACTTTGTTAATAACTGATGCCCCATAAATATCAGCCACGAAAACTGCATATAAGGTCACCACTTTGACAAAAGAACTGAAAATGTCAGATTATTTCCAGCTATAGTTGTTACATAATCTGCTCCTCCCAACTAGCGAGTGTGATGCAAAGGCACATGTTTAAGGCGTTTCAATACTTCTACTATGGGCAGCAAAGTATTTGGAGGCCTAGGAACTGCGGCTAGACTAAAAGGCAGGAATCACAAGCACCTCTCAAAACTAAGACGTCGGCATAGACGAAATGACGACATGAAAACTTAAATAATAAAAGTACAATAGATTAACTCTGGTTAGCGACAAACGATCACACTTCATTTCAAAAATTCCTGCGGCTTTCCCCCTGAAATCCGTCAGAGACCACAGCCCCAGCCCAGCGTTTCCTTCTCCCGAGCCTCGGGCGCCTGTGCCCCGCGCCGCAGCCAGGCGCTCAACCGCTCGCCTGTAGCGCCCGGGCCCGCCCTTACCAGACCCGAGGCAGCCATCTTCCGGCCCCGCTGAGCTCGCGCAGAGGTCTGAGGTGGAAATCCACACGGGCCACAGCTCCAGGAGGCCGAGCAAGAAACTAGTCACTAGACTACGAGGCTGCGGCCCAGTAACACCTTCAAGTTGAAGGCGACTGCGACGAGAGCGACGGTCCGGAAGGCGCGCGCTAACAACGCAAGCCGCCCATTGGCTACGCCCTCAACAAACAGAAACACTCAGCGCGAGTCGGGTTTGAACTGGACAGCACATGCGCAAAACCGGCCACGCCGTCCAATAGGAAGCAAGCGTTTAGTGGTCTCGCCCCTTCAGGCTCCTGGCCAATGGCCCTGCCGCCCGCAGCCCCGCCCTCCCTGCCTTCGGCCGCGCTCAGCCCCGCCCTCCCTGACTCCGGCCGCGCGCAGCCCCGCCCCCCTGCCTCCAGCCGCCCGCAGCCCCGCCCTCCCTGCCTCCGGCCGCGCGCAGCCCCGCCCTCCCCGACTCCGGCCGCGCGAAGCCCCGCCCCCCCTGCCTCGGGCCTCTCGGTTCTTTCCACCTCTCTCTCCATCAGCTCCGAGTTAGGGACCGGCGTGACACTGGGCCGTTGTTTGGAAGGCACGGCCATGGCAACCGCCCCTTGTGCCCAATGCAAAACTTCTCAACAGTTCTATTTAATACTTGGAAGAATGAGAGGTAGAAATTGCTGACGACTTTATTCGAATAGAATCTTTTTTTGAAGAAATTTTTCTGATGCAGATTTGTCAGGGACGCCCAGCCCATCTAAACATCATCTCTGAAAATAATTGAACTGTATAATAATGGTGATGATGGCTTGTATTATTTTTCAAATATGTGGGTGATATTTTGGTGATGCATTGCCAACAAATGACCCACGTAAATATCTATCAATTAAGTATGATGCACTGAAAAGAATTCTATACAGAATCCTGAAACCTGCCAGCCGTGACTAACTATGTGTCGTCTAGGACAAAATTGTGGCACCATTCTGGGTGTTTCCATAGTGATAGAATGGACGTCTAAATTAGGTGCTCTGAAGACCTCGTCCTACCTGACCAGTGTGTTATTCTGTGAAGCTGTATCTTATTTTATTTAATTAAAAATTTACAAGAAAATTTTAATCAGAAAATAGTTTACTAATTGAATAAATACATTAATCAGGAGTGGAGCTAATACATTTTTAAAACATGTAGTGCTTTAACATATGCTGTCACCTATGAAAGCCAATTTTTTAGTTTTACATTTATTTTTTGATAGGGAAGGAAAAGGAACTATGAACTTTGAAAGTGGGCCTGCATTGCACTCCATTCCATGAATTCTGCCATCATGAGCAAGTACGTTATCTGTTCCTTAATTCTCTTGTCTGTAAACTGAGAATAATATTAAAATGGTTGAGATGCTGTAATTAAATAATTCCTGTTAAGATCTAAGAACAATGTTTGGAACATAGTAAGAATTCAGTAATAAAGCTATTGGTGTCATTGCAAGGACTTTTTTTTTTACTATCTTTGGCAGTTTTGCCAATCAGTTTATATCAAATATAATTTACTGCTGTCACATTTGGAACAGATAATAATAAACACTAACATTTATTGAGTGCATACTCTATGCCCAGTTCTGTAAATGCTTCGCATGCATTGAAGAAAGCAATTAATATTTCTGTTTTATAAATAAGGGCACCTGAAACACAGAAGGATAAGTTTCTTGACCAAGATCACATCACCGCTAAATGGTAGAATGGAATATTATCCCAAGAATTCTGACTTCAGAACTGAGCTCTTTCTTTTTAATCCCATTTAATCCTCACAGTCACCCCTTGAAGCAGGCTCTATTGACACCCCCATTTTACAAATCAAGAAACTCAGGCTTCTGTGATAGAGTGGGAATGACTTGCCTAACTAGGTTTATACAGCTTCTAGGTGCCCAAACCAGGATACAAACCTGGGTCTCCCTGACTCCAAAACCTGGACAAGAACCCTAATGGATTTTACACTGTGAGAACCTGATCCATTAAAACACAGTGAAATCAACTTGCTGGTCCCAACATTTATATATATATATATATATATATATATATATATATATATATATATACATATACATATTTTAATTGTGTTTTAGGTTTTGGGGTACATGTGAAGAACATGCAAGATTGTTGCCTAGCTACATACATGGCAATGTGGTTTGCTGCCTTCCTCCCCATCACCTGTATCTGGCATTTCTCCCCATGTTATCATTCCCAACTCCTCACCCCACACTGTCCCTCCCCTAGATCCCCCTCACAGACCCCAGTGTGTGATGCTCTCCTCCCTGTGTACATGTGTTCTCATTGTTCGACACCCGCCTATGAGTGAAAACGTGGTGTTTGATTTTCTGTTCTTGTGTCAGTTTGCTGAGAATGATGGTTTCCAGGTTCATCCATGTCCCTACAAAGGACACAAACTCATCATTTTCTATGGGTGCATAGTATTCCATGGTGTATATGTGCCACATTTTCCCTGTCCAGTCTATCATCGATGGGCATTGGGTTGGTTCCAGGTCTTTGCTATTGTATAAACAGTGCTGCAGTGAACATTCGTGTGCACGTGTTCTCATAATAGAATACTTTATAATTCTTTGGCTATATACCCAGTAATGGGATTGCTGGGTCAAATGGAATTCCTATTTCTAGGTCCTTGAGGAATCACCACACTGTCTTCCACAATGGTTGAACTAATTCACAGTCCCACCAACAGTGTAAAAGTGTTCCTATTTCTCCACATCCTCTCCAGCGTCTGTAGTCTCCAGATTTTTTAATGATCGCCATTCTAACTGGAGTGAGATGGTATCTCAATGTGCTTTTGATTTGCATTTCTCTAATGACCAGTGATGAGCATTTATTCAAATGTTTGTTGGCCTCATATATGTCTTCTTTTGAGAAGTGTCTGTTCATATTTTTTGCCCACTTTAGGATGCATTTGTTTCTTTTTTTCTTGTATATCTGTTTTAGTTTTTGTAAATTATGTATATTAGCCCTTTGTCAGATGGGGAGATTGCAAAAATTTTTTCCCATTCTGTTGGTTGCTGATTCACCTAATGATTGTTTCCTTTGCTATGCAGAAGTTGTGGAGTTTAATTAGGTCCCATTTGTCTATTTTGGCTTTTGTTGACAATGCTTTTGGTGTTTTAGTCATGAAGCCCTTGCCTATGCCTATGTCCTGAATGGTTTTGCCTAGGTTTTCTTCTAGGGTTTTTATGGTGTTAGGTCTTATACAAGTCTTTAATCCATCTGGAGTTAATTTTAGTGTAAGGTGTCAGGAAGAGATCCAGTTTCTGCTTTCCGCACACTGCTAGCTAGTTTTCCCAACACCATTTATTAAACAGGGAATCCTTTCCCCCTTGCTAGTTTTTGTCAGGTTTGTCAAAGAACAGATGGTTGTAAATGTGTGGAGTTGCCTCCAAGGCCTCTGTTCTGTTCCATTGGTCTATATCTCTGTTTTGGTACCAGTACCATGCTGTTTTGATTACTGTAGCCTTGTAGTATAGTTTGAAGTCAGGTAGTGTGATGCCTCCAGCTTTGTTCTTTTTGCTTAGAATTGACTTGGCTATGCGGGCTCTCTTTTGGTTCCATATGAAGTTTAAGGTGTTTTTTTTTTTTTTTCCAGTTCTGTGAAGAAGGTCATTGGTAGCTTGATGAGGATAGCGTTGAATCTATAAATTACTTTGGGCAGTAGTGCCATTTTCACGATACTGATTCTTCCTAACCATGGACTGTTTCTCTATCTGTTGTTTCCTCTCTTATTTCGTTGAGCAGTGGTTTGTAGTTCTTGAAGAGGTCCTTTACATCCTTTGTTAGTTGTATTCCTAGGTATTTTATTCTCTTTGTAGCAATTGGGAATGGCAGTTCATTCTTGATTTGGCTCTCTTTAAGACTGTTATTCGTGTATAGGAATGCCTGTGATTTTTGCACATTGATTTTGTATCCTGAGACTTTGCTGCATTTGCTTAACAGTTTAAGGAGATTTTGGGCTGAGAAGATAGGGTCTTCTAAATATAAAATCATGTTGTCTGCAAATAGAGAAAATTTGACTTCCTCCTTTGCCAATTGAATACCCTTTATTTCTTTTTCTCGCCTGATTGCTCTGGCTAGGACTTCCAATACTGTATTGAATAGGAGTGGTGAGAGAGGGCATCCTTGTCTAGTGCCAGATTTCAAAGGGAATGCCTCCAGCTTTTGCCCATTCAGTATGATATTGGCTGTGGGTTTGTCATAAATGGCTTTTATTATTTTGACATACGTTCCATCAATACCTAGTTTATTGAGAGTTTTTAGCATAAAGGACTATTGAATTTTGTTGAAGGCCTTCTCTGCATCTATTGGGATAATCATGTGGTTTTTGTCTTTTGTTCCGTTTATGTGGTGAATTACATTTATAGACTTGCATATGTTGAATCAGGCTTGCATCCCTGGGATGAAGCCTACTTCATCATGATGGATAAACTTTTGGATGTGCTGTTGCAATTGGTTTGCCAGTATTTTGTTGAAGATTTTGGCATCTATGTTTGGCCTGAAGTTTTATTTTCTTGTTGAGTCTCTGCCAGGTTTTGGTATCAGGATAATATTGGTCTCATAAAATGATTTGGGAAGAATTCTCTTTTTTGGGTTTGTTTGGAATAGTTTCGGAAGGAGTGGTACCTGCTTCTCTTTGTATGTCTTGTGGAATTCGGCTGTGAACACATCTGGACCTGGGCTTCTTTTGGGTGGTAGGCTTTTAGTTGCTGCCTCAACTTCAGCCCTTGTTATTGGTCTATTTAGGGTTTCGACTTCCTGGTTTAGGCTTGGGAGGATGCAAGTGTCCAGGAATGTATCCATTTCTTCCAGGTTTACTGGTTTATGTGCATAGATTTGTTTGTAGTAATCTCTGATGGTGGTTTGTATTTATGTGGAATCTGTGGTGATATCCCCTTTATCGTTTTTTATTGCATCTATTTGATTATTCTCTCTTTTCTTCTTTATGAATCTGGCTAGTAGTCTGTCTGTTTTGTTGATGTTTTCAAAACACCAGCTCCTGGATTTATTGATTTTTTTGAAGAGTTTTTTTTTTTTTTTTTTTTTTATCTCTATCTCCTTCATTTCTGCTCTGATCTTAGTTATTTCTTATCTTCTGCTAGGTTTTGAGGGGTTTTTTTTTTTATCTTGCCCCTCTAGCTCTTTCAATTTTGACAATAGGGTGTTGATTTTAGA